AACAGCAGCAACAACAACAACAACAACAGCAAGAGCAATATCAACAGCAACATCACAAGCAGCAACGACAACAACAACAGCAACAACGACAACAACAACAACAGCAACAACAACAACCACAACCACAGCAACAACAACAGCAATAACACCAACAGCAACAACAACAACAAAGACAGATAATAACGCAAGAAGGCCAACTGTTGATGCTTGTGTAACGGGACTGCTACTTCCACAAGCGTTGTAGTGTTAAACTGTTAGTCCCTTACGAGAGCATTTGCATGTCCTTCAGGATGTTGCTTTCTTGTGGTATGCCACTATCCCGATCACCCTGCAAGGGCGCTTTCCTCACAAAGGCCCAACCCTAAACCCTAAACCTTATATAAACCCCAAAACGAAGTGTACTATGGATCCTACAGTATCCCCAGTAGAGGTCGGATGTGTGAAGGGGTTGTACCGATTTTCATGATTCGTTTAGCTCGTTCTTACTTCATGTAACGGGTCAGGTTGGCAACTCTCTGGGAGCTTTTTCTAAATTTCTCAAACACATCAGCCAATAGTTTATTTATTTGAAGATATAGGTCGTGATACTGTCCCAGGTTCCGAATGTTGAAGTGCTTCCTGATCTTCCGAGCCCTTTTTTAATTCACTGCTTTCGATCCCTTCCTCACCAGGCTTACTGTAAAAAGGCTTCTTTACTTGCCAGCTGTGTGTCCTTGAACTTACTGAAGTCGGTACAGTAGTCGGAAGGATTAAAACCTTTACCTCACGTTTTTTACAGATCCAAGTCTCCATCCTTAGTCACGGACACACTCTTTTTATCGTCATGGAACGTATTCTGTCAGTTCCCCCTCTTCTCATCATTATGATGCATAGTCAACTTCACAAGTCCATCCAATGAAGGTGACTAGAAGCTGACGTTGCCTTTAAACTCAACTTGGTTCACTGTGAGCGTAACGAACTTTTGGCTGTTCTGCGCTACCATGCTGATCTTGTCCTTCTTCACACTTAGCTGCTCCTTATGTGCTGTGAATAGGTGGGCGTCGTAGCTCTTAGGGTTGTGAGAAGCACCAGGGTCTTGAAATGTTTAGACCAGGAGTCACTCCCAGTTACACTTATTGGGTGCCGCCCCTCTGTATAGGCCTTTGAAGTTGCAGTGGTCGACGAAATTACGGTCCCCAACCCCCCTCATGTCTCAACCTCGTTCCGTTTAATGCGGCCCTGGCAGGTTGATAAGAACTTCTTGACCTTGGCAGAGGCAGCCGGACCTCACCCATGGTCGTGCTTTGCACCACAGAAAGCCGGACCGAAGATGCGATGATCTGCAGTGTGACCAGCGGAACTGAATGGGCTGCGTCGAACGGTTGGGTGTCATTAAGATTCAGTTCTCTGTTCAGGCTTGGTGACGGTTTAGTGGTTCCGTAGACTTCGCATTTTCTCGAAAACATGACAGGTTTTGCCCTTCAGCCGCATGCGAGAGTTCGTACCGTGTCTTTTGCTGGCACAACATGTACTGGCCAAGCCCATGCTGAATACCACAGAGACCCGCGTTCCTGAGCCTCACGAGATTAACATGTAGAAGTATGTGCACTGTGCTCTACAGCATTCGCAACGACATGTTGGCCAACCGAAAAAGAGTAGACCATCTTAAACTCTGTATAGTCAGGTCTTGAACTCCACACCCATGGTTGCTGCCAGGTGAAAGCCGAACAAGGAGCCACATTACCCCCAGAGCCTTGGGCAGCCAACACTCGGTTTTTGCCGAAGATTTGGCCAGGCTTCCGCTGCTTGCATGTCTAGGCCGTTTAGGGTTTAGGGTTTATAGGGTTTAGAAGACTCAGCCTAAGTGGAAAGCCTGTTGCAGGGGCTGAGTCTTCTACGTGTTGTTGCAGGTCGTGCTCAGGGTGTGCATACGACTCCCTCGCTAAGTTGAGTAAGCAGACCTACAAAACGTATGTTCAACTGAACGATTGTTGGACGTGGCACTCAGAAGCATGTGCACAAGGGATACGTAGGCTCTCCAACGCTCACGAGTCCTGAGCGCTTACACACACACAAAACCCTATGATGGTTTAGTTGATAGCATGAATCTTATACTGTATTGTATTATTATTATTATTATTATTATTATTATTTATATTATTATTATTATTTATTATTCATTATTTATTATTATTTATTTTATTATTATTATTATTAATTATTATTAATTATTATTAGTTATTATTATTATTATTAGTATTATATGTATTATTAATTATAGTTATATACCGTTATACTAAATCATAGCATCGTATAGTATAGTGTACATAGTATAGTGTAGTACAGTATGGTATAGTCTACCATAGCATGGACTCCTTGCGGAAGTGCTCCCTTCGGTTCGGCTAAACCCTAAACCCTAAACCCTAAAGCCCTAAACCCTAAACCCTCTCCTTGAGGAAGTGCTCCCTTCGGTTCGGCTTTGGCTGCTCCGTGGTGTAGCAAAAGCTGGGCGGGGCTCGGTCGCCGCGGCGCGCGAGGCTTAGGGTTTAGGGTTTAGGGGTTTAGGGTTCAGGGTTTAAGGTGTGAGTTTTGGCACTTCGGGCGGTTTAGGGTTTCGGGGGTTTAGGGATTATGTTTTGGGTTTCGGGTTCGGGGCTGCTTTTCCAGTCAAGCTCATGGCTAAACAGTGACATCAGCGCGCATTCTAGGATAAGGTATTGGTTGTATAGAAGGTTTGCAAGAACATTGGCGCATGGCCGACGACATCATTCACGGTCATATCCTTCGTAGGAAAAACAAAAACCCACAACTTCCTAAAACTTTAAAACCGCTAAAGTCCAAACCTTAAATATGTCCAGGGTTCAGAAAGCATTGGAGGCTCGAGAAAGCTCAGCAAAAGCCGGACAGGATCTCCAGCGCGCTGCGCTTTTCATCCAGGCGAGCTTTGGGGCTTATGGCTTATAGCAGGTTCAACTAGGTTTTGGGCGTTTAGGGCTTGACGGTATAAGGGTTTAGGGTTGATTGTTTGGGCTGCGCAATCACGAGTGCTGCGCTGCTTCATGGCGAAGGCTGTTCCGGGCTAGAGAAGCCTGCTGCAAAAGGGTTTATTAACTTAGGGGCTATAAGTGTCAAGAATCGCGCACATGTCGGATTGAAGTATCAGATTGAATCTCAGCATTTGCTTCTTCGTTGTTCTCCTCGTGTAGGGTTCATGCGTTTCTCCGTATTCACCTCCGACCAAGATACCTACTCCTAATCTTCTCTGGAATGTATATGTATTAGTTTTTGAGTTCAAGTAGGTCTCTAGTCAATGGCCGGGTCAGCCTTGATGACAAATCGCCATCACACGGCGAAAGAGGTTGCGCGAACTCGCAGTTGTGCTGGTGTGATGCACACAGGTAGCCTGGAAGTGCAACCACCACAGATACAAGAACGTAGTAGCATCTACCCTAGTTATAACTGTCTCACAACTGGTTCGATAGCCAGGGCAACAGTGGACATACGCAAGGTGCATAATTTCTCCACAGCGATTCAACTTCAAATCGGAATGTTACTGGCAAGGTTAACCCTAAGCCCTAATAAGTTAAGCCTTGCTACACCCCGAGCCCGACTATAAACCAGCTAAAGTGAAAAAACGACAAGCACCCCAATCGCCGCAGACAAGATCTGAGACTCGAGTCTTGCCTTCAAAAGCTCCCCTTCCTGCAGCAGTTTATTCTCACACCCCACACTCATTCATACTGCAGCAAGGACGGCAGACAGCATTCTCCGCTACCTGAAGTCAAGTATGTTAACTATGGTATAGCCGTTTCGTGGATATTGCAGGATACTGTCCACCAGGTGTAGCACTACAAGTGTCAGTAGCAGTAGCAGTAGCAGCCGGAGCAGTAGCAGCGCCAGTAGCAGCAGTAGTAGTAGTAAAACCTAAACCCTAAACCCTAAATCCTAATAGTAGTTGTAGTAGTAGTAGTA